CAGACACATAGATCAATGGAACAGAATAGAGAGCCCAGATACAGACCCTCAACTCTATGGTCAATTAATCTTTGACAAAGCAGGAAAAAATATGCAATGGAAAAAGACAGATTCTTCAATAAATGGTGCTGGGCAAATTGGACAGCTATATACAGAAGAATGAAACTCAACTATTTTCTAACTCCATACACAAAGATAAACTCAAAATGGATGAAAGACCTCAATGTGAGACAGGAATCCATCAAAATCCTAGAAGGAAACATAGGCAGTAACCTCTTCGAAATCAGCCACAGCAACTTCTTTCAGGACACGTCTCCAACGGCAAGGGCAACAAAAGCAAAAATGAACTTTTGGGACTTCATCAAGATAAAAAGCTCCTGCACAGCAAGGAAACAGTCAGCAAAACAAAGAGGCAACCCACAGAAATGGGAGAAGATATTTGCAAATGACACTACAGTCAAAGGGCTGGTATCCAAGTTCTATAAAGAACTTCTCAAACTCAACACCCAAAAAACAAATAATCAAGTCAAAAAATGGGCAGAAGACATGAAAAGACACTTCTCTGAAGAAGACATTCAAATGGCTAACAGATACATGAACAAATGTTCATCTTCAGTAGCCATCAGGAAAATTCAAATCAAAACCACATTGAGACCACCTTACACCAGTTAGAATGGCAAAAATTGACAAGGCAAGAAACAACAAATGCTGGAGAGGTTGTGGAGCAAGGGGAACCCTCTTACACTGTTGGTAGGAATGCAACCTGGTACAGCCACTCTGGAAAACAGTATGGAGGTTCTTTAAGAAGTTAAAAATAGAGCTACCCTATGACCCAGCAATTGCACTACTGAATATTTACCCCAAAGATACAGATATAGTGAAAAGAAGGGCCACATACACCCCAATGTTCATAGAGCAATGTCCCCAATAGCCAAACTGTGGAAGGAGCCGAGATGCCCTTCAACAGATGAATGGATAAAGAAGATGTGGTCCATATATACAATGGAATATTACTTAGCCATCAGAAAGGATGAATACCCAACTTTTGCATCCTTTCCCGATGTGTCAACATGGATGGGACTGGAGGAGATTATGTTAAGTGAAATAAGTCAAACAGAGAAAGGCAATTATCATATGGTTTTACTTATTTGTGGAACATAAGGAATAGCATGGAGGATATTAGGAGAAGGAAGGGAAAAATGAAGGGGGGAAATCAGAGGGGGAGACGAACCATGAGAGACTATGGACTCCAGGAATCAAACTGAGGGTTTTAGAGGGGAGGGGGATGGGGGGATGGGTGAGCCCAGTGATGGGTATTAAGGAGGGTACGTATTGCATGGAGCACTGGGTGTTATATGCAAACAATGAATCATGGAACACTACATCAAAAACCATGATGTACTGTATGGTGACTAACATAATAAAAAAATTATAAAAACATAAAGAAAAAAATTGGATTTATAGAAAAAACAATGAGAAGACTTTGCAAATCATCTTTGGACTTTTCAAAGAAAGAGTTTTAAAACTCAACAGGACTTTTTTTCTTCTTACAGCTTTGGAGAAGTCCAAGAGTTAACTATTGTATTATTATTTGGAAGTATTATACAGACATAGTGCCTTACATATAGACCTTTAATAAAATAAATATGTTAATGAAGACTATGCTTTCAATTAAAAGTAATCTCTTTGTTTTTAAACAGATAGCCATCAGAAGCCAATGTAACTGCATGCACTTTCTTGTTGTCATTTGGAACCAGGCTTCTATTGACTACTATACTCGTCGAGGGGCTTTAGACCTTTCCTCTGAGGAGGGTTGGCATTTGTTCAGGTTTAATAGAGAAGTACTCATGGATATGGCAAAGGAAGAGTGAAAGATGATTCATCTCAACTTGTCCCAACATATGCTCCAACATTTGAATGTCACCTGAGTCCAACAGCAGTTTGACTTTGAGTGTTGTACAATACAGCAAGTGATTAAACTCTGGTTTGAGCAGGTCTTTTACTTTGAAATAGATTTGGCATATATAATCAACCTTCCTTTATCCAAACTAATATACTAATGACTAGTAACAGAGGTGATGATCCAAAAGAGTAGATAAATCAAGAATCACTTTAAAGTTTCTTTTTTTTATTTTTTATTTTTTATTTAAGAGAGAGAGAATGAGAGAGAGCACATGAGAGGGGGGAGGGGCAGAGGGAGAAGCAGACTCCCCGCCGAGCAGGGAGCCTGATGCGGGACTTGATCCAGGGACTCCAGGATCATGACCTGAGCCGAAGGCAGTCGCCCAACCAACTGAGCCACCCAGGCGCCCAAGAATCACTTTATATTTAGTAGTAGGATATTTATTTTTTACCTACCATATCTCACTAAATTTTAGATGTTTATATTTTCACATCTTAACACAGCTGAAATTGGGATAATTATAATGATCAACTGGTATCACTTTTTTCTTAGAGGCAAATAACGTGTCTTAGATTTGATGAAATATGGATTTATTTGATTATAAACAGATCTGAGGTACAAAAAATTCATTTAAAATACTGAAGCTAAATTTTGAGGAGCTTACTTATGAAAAACTAGTAAGTGAACTATTTCCCTACCTTGAGTAGCTCAAGTACCACTGACTCCTTAATATCATCTCAGAACTACATTTTATCTCTGAGCATTTACAGCTCTTTGGTTGTATTTATCTTAGGGCAGATACTACATATAACACTTGTATATACATACGTTTCTTTCTTTTCTAGTAGAAATATAAGCCCTTTGACAGAAGTATAATTACTTTTGTATCCTGTGTTGCAAACAGAACATGAGTTCCTACTATGTACCAGGTATTTCATAAGCATAAAACCTGCACAAAGAGGATTCAGTCATAACCCACAAGGAGTCTTGTCTGTGAAAAAATATTAGTTTTAGCTTTATAATAAATTGGATGGGTTGTCACAACTATAAACACCCAAGTGTAAAGGAATGTAGAATAGAGAGTATTTCACTCCTACCTTAGAAGATTGAGAAAGGTGACACTGGAATTGGGTTTGAAGGATGAGTTCGAAGTTAGAATATGGAACAGGAGGAAACAGAAAAAAATTCCTAAGAGGAAATAACAGCATAGGCAGAAAAAAAAAAAAAAAAACCTTAAAATAACAAAGCATATTCAAGGAGTAAGTGATATGTTACAGATAAAATATAACATACATTGGCAGTAGGGTAGGAAAGGAGAGGGAAGATAGGATTAAAGTTGAATTGGGATCATAAGTGAAGGGCCTTGTATGCCATGCTTAGGTGTCTTGATTTGACGGTATAGGCGATGATGAGCCACTGAAGATTTCAGAGAGACAACTAACCATAATGGTTGTTAGAAAGACAACTATGTCATAATATGACAGATGGGTTAGAAGAATAGGGTAGCAGACACTATATATTAGCTGAAACTCAACACCCATTCCATATCCCTTACAGTTTGCCTTCCTCACCATAGAAAAAAATATGATTTGCCAATTTTCCTTGAGCTAAGGTGGCTGTATGGTAAGTTCTGGTCAAGATATAGACAAGAATTCTGAGAGAGGCTCTAAGAAAGCATTTACTTTTTTGATAATAGAGGGTCAGAAGCATCTGGCAGAGTTTGTCCTAATCTTTCTTCCTACATTGAATGTGTTTATGTTCCACAGGAACAACAGCCATTTTGTGACCATGAGATGACAACTGACATACTAAAGAGCAGAGTGGAAAGAGAAAATGTTTAGGTCCTTGATGGCACTAATGAGCTACAGAATGAACCCTGTACTGTCTAATTCCAGACTTTATATAGACTCTTATTTACTCTTAATTGGTTTATTGCTACCTGCAAAGAGAACACATTCTCAAGTGACATAAAGCAAGAATGATGGAGGGCAGATGAAAGGCTATTGTAATAATTCAGGAAGGTGATGATGAAAACTTGAATGGGAGCAAGGATTAAAGAAGAGTAGAAAAGGTAGAGTAGATCTGAAAAACACAGAAATAAAAGAAGAGAGAGGTAGAGGCAATTTAATTTTAGGCATATTAACATTGGGATACCTGAGATGTAAGGTAGATGCAATAAAAAATAATTAGAAAATAGGTCTACAGCTCTAGAGAAATATGGGAGCTGGAAATATAAATGATAAGGAAATATAAATGGTGGCTAAAGCCAGTAAAGTATATTGAATGAAAATGAGAGAGCATATAAAATGAGAAAAGATGACTAGGAATGCAACCTGAAGAGCCACAGCATTTTGATTCAGAGCAAGAGAATGAAGAATAAGATAAGCAGGAATAACAGCAAAGGGAGGAGGGAGTTTCAGGTAGGGAATGTTCAAGAGTCAATAATTACAGAAAATTCAAATAGGTATAGAGGCCAGGGAGTCAGAAAGAGAGGAATCAAAAGTGAGGAAGTAAGAAAGTGACACTAATTTATTTTATGAAGTATGGCAATCATAGGAAAGAGAAAGAAAAGATAGCTTGAGAGGAAGAGGAAGGGTTAAGGAAAGGTTTTTGTTACTCTTGTTTCTGGATAAAGAATATCTGAAGCTATTTATAGATCAAGGAAAAGAAATTAATGAAAAGAGAAACCAAAGACTGAAGATTAAACAGGATAGAATATGGTACTGGAAAACACAGCAAAGAATGAGATCAGGAACACAAATAAGCATTAGCCTTAGACGAAAGGGATGCACGGCTGAAAAGAGAGAGGTAAATCTTGAAGGTAGAGGGGAAGAAGTTGAAAATGGTCATGTCTAAAAGCTCATGCTTCCCCACTATGTAATAGACAGTCATCTCTGGCAGGTGTAGGAGGCTTAAGAATAAATGGTCTGTAATACCTCTCCTGGGGAACAGAATAGGAAACCAACTAAAGGAACCAGTAGGATTACTAGGTAGCACTGGGGTGCCTTGTAGAATATGGTCCTCTTAAATAGAAATGTTTTTGGACATTTAAGAGGAGTTGACATTAATAAAACAAAGAGACAAAACCAAGCCCAAGTGTCATAAAATATGGATATTTTATTCCAGCTCTGGGGAATGAAAAAAAAGGGGAACACATTCTTTTGCGCACCATTCTAATTTAGTTGACATTAATTTGAAAAAGCTAAAGCAAGTATGTATATGTATCTGTATAAATATTTATATATACACATACATATTTCATCAGTGTTTATATATTTACTCTATTTTTGTTTTTTAATAAACACCCTTAAAAATCATTAAATGCATCCCAATACTTCTGCCTCTTCATCAATCATTTAATACTGTTTGGATTAAATTCACAGTTTGTGTTTTAATCCCTTATGTGATTGGTCAAACTGTACATTACATTAGAATGTGAGGGAAAAACTTTGTTTAAAAGTTATACCCTAAAAAAAAAAAAAGTTATACTCTCTGTGTCACGGTTACCCTTTACATGATTTTTTCATCATCGTTTTCAACTTCGCACATCTTGTAGTTCTCTACGCAGACTATTTCAGCTTCTAGTGCTGTACATATCTACATCTTCTGGATGGGACTGCCCGTGATCCATGAGCTTGGGGTCAAGCATAAACTGTGTAGCACCTGATAAAGCATTAAAATGAAAAAAAATTAGTCATTCATTTTACAAATGTATTGTTGGTACTGGGAATACAGCAGTGAATAAAACAAATAAAAATCTCTGTCAATATGACCTAACATTTAAGTTTGGCAACATAGACAATAAATTAAGTAAAAGATATTATCAGATGGTGGTAAGTGCTATGCAAAAAAATAAAACAGGGAGGGGCATATAGAGCACTTGGGTGACTTACAATTTTAAACAGGGTGGCCTTAAAAAAAAGGTGGTAACTGAGCAAAGAACTGAAGGAGGTGAGGGTGTGTGCCCTGTAGATATCAGAGGAAAATGCCTTGAAAGTATAAGGGACCTGAGGCATGTCTGAGGAACCACAAAATGGTCAGTATGACTGGAACAGAATAGGTAAGATGTGGTGATGGTGGGTGCAATGAGAGTGACAGGAGACATGATCAGATAACAGAAGGCTAAGCCATATAGGTCCATGGTAAGGTGTTTCTCTCTTATTTTAATGCTAGATGGACAGTTTTGAGAAGAGAAGTGACACGATGTTTCATTTTTTTATAAGATCACTCTTGGGGCACCTGGGTGGCTCAGTCAGTTAAGTGTCTGCCTTTGGCTCAGGTCATGATCCCAAGGTCCTGGGATCGAACCCCATGTTGGGCTCCCTGCTCAGTGGGGAGCCTGCTTCTCCCTCTCCTCTGTGCTTGTGCTCTCTCTCGCTATCTCTGTCTCTCTCTCAAATAAATAAAATCTTCAAAAAAAAAAAGATCACTCTTGTCTGTAGGGAGAAGAGACTACAGGGAAATTAGGGTGGAAGCAGGGAAACCAGTAGCAATGGAGATGGTAAAAAAAAGACTGGATTCTGGATAACTTCTGAAGGTAGAATGGGCAGGATTTCCTAAGTGGACTGAATATGTTATGTGAAAGCGACTCTAACTTAAGAAACTGGAAGGATGGAGTTGACATTTACTGTGATAGGGAATAATGTGGGAGAAGCATGTTTGGGGGAAGGCAAGATAAGTGTCAAGTTTTGGATGTGTTAAATTTGCATTGCTAACTAAACATCTCAGTACAAATGTTGAGTCATCTGTTGGAAATGTGAGTCTCTAGAGCTCAGGAGAGGCCTTTGGCTGCTTTATAAATTTTACAGTACTAATTTACATATGGCATTTAAAATTATCTATGAGATCATCTAGAGCATCAGAGAAGAGGTCTAAGCAATGAGTCCTTTGGATACTCCATTTTTTTTAATTTAAGAAAATAAGGAGAATGTATCAGAGAAGACAGAAGGAACAGCCAGTCAGTGAAGTAAGAGAACCAAGAGCAAGTGGTATCCCACAAGCCAAGTGAAGAGATCTGTTTCAAGGAAGAGGGAGTAATCACTTGTGTTAAAAGTTACTGATGAATCCATGGAGATGGAGATTGAAAATGGACTGGATTTGGCAATGTGTAGATCATTGGTGATCTTGATAAACTGATAGTGTGCCAGACAAGATACTACATTATTTTCATGCATTATCTCACACTACCACCATAAGATAGATAATATTTTTATATTATCCTTGTTTTATAGGTAAGGACTTTTTAATTTACAGAGGTTAAGAAAATTGACCAATCTCACTTAGCTGATAAATGGAGCCAGGACTGAATCCAGGTTAGTTTGACTCCCTAAAACAACAACCCTGACTCTTGTAAAATGGGGGCTAGAGTAGTAACAATGTCACACAATTATTTTAGTATTCAGTATAATAATACAAAGTGTTGCATATAATACCCTGTGCATGGTAAGTAGGCAAGAAACAACTATTTTTATATTTACTTTGTGATGTAAGATTAAAAATATTTTTTCAGAAATTTGCTTTTAAGTGTTTTTCAAAATCTGATTTAAAATAATTTAGTTATATTTGGGAAACATATCTTTTTCCCACAGAGGAATTTAATTTCCAGTTTTATGATGAAAACAAAGGGGAGAAATAGATTTACACACAATGATTTATTTTACGCCTATCTCTTCAGAAACTTTTCTTTTTTTTTAAGATTTTATTTATTTATTTGAGAGAGAGAGAATGAGAGAGAGAGCATGAGAGGGGGGAGGGTCAGAAGGAGAAGCAGACTCCCTGCTTAGCAGGGAGCCTGATGCGGGACTCGATCCCGGGACTCCAGGATCATGACCTGAGCCGAAGGCAGTTGCTTAACCAACTGAGCCACCCAGGTGCCCCCAGAAACTTTTTCTATTTCATAAAGTGTGATATACCTATATGTAACTTCACTACCACATATGTTTAAAAAAAACCCAAATCATAAGTAATCACTATCCATACACTGATATAGTTCTCCATAGGATAGAATAAATTTTTTTTTTTAGGATATTAATTCTTAATATGGGGTCCCTTTGGGGGTCTATGGATAGAATTCATGTGATCTATGAATTAAGTGTAGGAAATTTGTCTTCATTTTCATTAACCTTGGACTGAAAATGAACATTTTCTTCAATAATGAGTGGAGGCAAAACCACAGTATTATTAGGAGGACCTTAGATTTTGTCACTAACAGAAATCACAAATATTTTCATATCATGTTGCAGTTGCAAATATTTTGAAATATTTATACTTATCACTACTTCAAAACTATGGCTTTTATTAGATCTGTTAGGTACTGTTGTTTAATACATTTAAAGAAGCACATATATTACCATGTATTTTGTTTTATCCACTTAAAAGCATTATTCTGAGAAGGGGTCCATCACACACAGGAAAGATTAAGAAACTGGTTCTGCCAGCTTCTTTCGCAAATGTATTTTTACTGCCACCTGGTGGAAGTCTTTGCTCAGCACAAGTGAAAAGTGTCCTAGGAAATAGTTTCCTTCTTCATCAAACATATTATAGTAAGCATATGACAATTATTTTATATAAGTCTGAATGTACCTAATTTGCTCAACAATGCCCATCAGTTCACTAAGTTCTCTAACACTTCTACTTACTTCCTTAATACATATTCTTGTCCAAACTCTAGTCAAAACTTCAGCTCACCCAAATTTGAAATGCCCCATTGCCTTTAGATCTCTACCTTTCAAAATTTTTTGAAAGGCTTCAGGATTTTAATTTATCCATAGCTTATGTCAGACATTATTAACTAGAGGAATATGCACAGAGAATTAGCTGTGGAGCTTTTCCTAGAATCCACCTGCTTAGAGGCCTCACCTCTGAAGATTTTAATTGGGTAGAGTGAATTTTAGAAAACAAACAACTCCAGTAACTATAACATGGATCCCTCTAGTTTAGAACCACTTAGCCTCGGTCATTTGTTTTCTGCCTTTTAAAAAAGATCCATCTCCTGCTTTTCTGAGTAACTAAGGGTTACACCTTTCCTCTTAGAAATTTCTTCACCCCTTAAACTGATCAAGGGCTCTCTCCTCCCAAAGGATTAGCAGTAATAAAACTCTCCTTGAATCTTAATCCCCTAACCCATTAGAATGCTTTTCTTTGTACTTTATCATATTTTTAATCTTTCATAAAAAGCTGTTTTTACACTTAAAAGTTTTTTAGAAGACTTTTTAAAAAGCTGGTGTTATCTTGTTGTGATGAGCATTGGGTGTTTGTATGGAAGTACTGAATCACTATATTGTACACCTGAAACGAGTACACTGTATGTTAACTAACTGGAATTTAAATAAAAACTTAAAAGCTGGTGTTACAACAAACAGAAAAGAATAAAGATGTTTAAAGTCATAAAATAACAATAAATTATTATCTTAAATAGCCATTGTGTGACATCTATTCACTGATAATTTAGTTTATACATTATTTATATTTTGAGCAAGTTAGATATAAAAAATGGGACAGATCACTAATAAATTTCAAAGTTAGGATTTTAAAAATTCTATTTTTGTTTCTTTGTATAAAATTGATATTCAGCATTCAGCTTATAACTGAAATACTTATACTAGACACTGCAATATGTATGAAGGCAGCCACAGACAATACATAAATGAATGAGTGCAGCTGTATTCCAATAAAACTTTATTTATAGACACTAAGATTTGAATTTCACATAATATTCTCTTGTCACAAAATACTTCTATTTTTTTTTCAACCATTTAAACCATGTAGGGCGCCTGGGTGGCTCAGTCGTTAAGCGTCTGCCTTCAGCTCAGGTCACGATCCCAGGGTCCTGGAATTGAGCCCTGCATCGGGCTCCCTGTTCCAAGGGAAGCCTGCTTCTCCCTCTCCCACTCCCCCAGGTTGTGTTCCCTCTCTTGCTGTGTCTCTCTCTGTCAAATAAATAAAATCTTTAAAAAAAAAAAAAAGTAAATAAACCACGTAGAAACCATTCTTGGCTTGTGAAATTTACAAAATAGATGGTGAGCCAGATTAGGCACAAAGGCCATAGTCAGCCAACCTCTGCTTTAGAGGTACATTAATCCTGTGAGAATATGAGAGATTTTATTCTTCTTTCAAAGAGGTCCATGTCACCAAATTTCCAAATTTGTTATTCCTAAAATAACATAATTTTTACTATAAATGTATATGAATGACAGAGAACTACCAAGCTCATATTAAGAGCCATAATTTATAACTGGATAGTATACCCAACATATTCTGTATGGTGGTAAATGGTAGCTATGGCAAGGCTCTCTAGCTAAATAGTGTGCTCCCAAAGCTTGCTCAGTGGAAATACTTGTTTATCTGCAAAATGGCTAATTACTCTGGGCAAATGATATTTTCTAACACTCACTGAGAATTTAGCATGTAACTGACATTGTACTTTGTGCTTTACATGCAGCATCTCATTTAATCCTCACAACTATGTGAGAAAAACACTATTATTTTTCTCCCCTTTATGGATTAGAAGACAGGCTTGAGGTATTAGATAATTTGTCCCTAGTAAGAGAACTAGCAAATGTTGGATCTAGGATTCAGTTTCAGGTCTTACTCTTAAATCTGTGCTCATAATCACTACTGTTTTCCATGTCTTGGACCTTTGGGATTGCATGTGAAATGTGGAA